ACAGCAGATAAACAACCGGTAAACAGCAGGTAAACAGCCAGTAAACATCAGGTAAACAACCGGTAAACAGCAGGTAAACAGCCAGTAAAGAGCAGATAAACAACCGGTAAACAGCAGGTAAACAACCGGTAAACAGCAGATAAACAACCGGTAAACAGCAGGTAAACAGCAGGCAAACAGCCAGTAAACAGCTGGTAAACAACTGGTAAACAGCAGGTATACGTTGAGTAAACGTCAGGTAGATGTCTAGTAAATGGCACATAAACATTTGGTAGACTTCAGGTAAACAACACCCACTGGGTAAACAACAGGTAAACATCTGGAAAAATTCTGGTATCTACCAGGTAAGGCAATGTCGGGTAAACAGAGTAAACTGTGTATCTTCAGGTGAACTTCAGGTAGAGTATAAAAGCCAGCCTGTTGTTTGTGGTGCAGTAAATAAACAACAGTCTTGGTCCACCTGTTGCAGACACGCCCTCCCTCTCTTCACCTCCCTGCTGAACGTGGTCTGCGCCTACGACCCCGTCGGCTTCGGCTTCCCCTACAACCACCTGCTGTTCTCCGACCAGCGGGAGCAGCTGGTGGAGCAGGCGCTGCAGGTCCTCGTCGTCAGCCTGGAACACGAGTCCGGGTCGGCCGCCGGCGCCGCCCTGCAGGCTCTGGACCCCTCCACGCCCCCCCCCTCGGGGGAGGAAACGCAGGTGACGGAGGGAAAATGGTCGATTCACACAGAAAAACAGAAACAGGATGAAATAACTTTATTTATGTCTCAAATTAAAAGCAGATTAATAAATATCATCATAAACAATTTAAAACGATATGAAGTTAAAAATTGTTCTGATTGGGTTTTTAAATGTTCACTTAGAGCAGATCATAATTGAAGTCTAAAAACTGAAACACATTAATGTTTTATTAGTTTTTATTATAATCGAGCCAAAAACAACCTTTGAGTTTATAGTCAGCTTTTCATTTTTCAAAATAGTTTTAAAATCAAACAAGTTGTTTATGGTGCAAATGAAATTATTTAAGGACATTATTTATGATTTTTTTTTTTTAAATAATATATTATCAATGAATTTATCAATTTATTCTACCGGTAATTATTTAATCTTTCCCCAAAGATTTCTGTACACTAAATGTAAACACAACATTAAAAACATTGTTAGTAAGAACTCTTTATTCAATAATCTTCTTTGTTTTATCATTTAAATATGTTTTTTGTTACATTTAAGTAAACTTTGAACAGAATTTGTTCTTTAATAACATAAAAAAATTCATTTGTAAATTTGTTTTTATGAATGCCATCTAATGTAAATTTGTTTTTGTTTTCATTAAGAGAGAAAATAAAATCTAAGTGCTTTATAAAAACAAGACTTTTTTTTTTTTTGCATTTTCTTTCATTTGCAAAGTAAAAAATATATTATTTGCAAACCAAAGTTGCAGAATAAATCTAATTTAAATGAAAATAACCCGTGACTGAACACTGAACCTTGAGGAACGCCACGGATAACTCTGTAACTCTAATATTTATTTTTATATCTTGAAATCTTTTATGCAAATTGTTTCTGAGCCAAAAATTTATAACTTTTAATTTGAGTGTTTTTAATTTGTTGATCATTTGTGACAAAAACTTTGTCACAATAAAAATATTCAAATAGAATATTTCATATAATTTTTGTTTTTTCAGCCTTCAGGACCCGTCAACCTGTTTGTGAATTATCTCTCCAGGATCCACAGAGAGGAGGTACCGTGCGCTTCAGATGTCCCGTTCAGCCGCCATCATGCAGATGGTTGTTTGAAACGTGTATATTTATTTATTTATTTATTTATTTATTTATTTATTTTAATTTAGGACCTGAGCTTTGTCCTTAAAGGTTTGGCTCAGCTCCTCAACAACCCTCTGATCCAGACTTACCTTCCTCGATCCACAAAGAAGATCCAGTTCCACCAGGAGCTGCTGATCCTCTTCTGGAAGTTCTGTGACTTCAACAAGGTGTGAGACTTTATATATCTCTATTTTTATATTTTACATGATTTAAAGCCGCCTGTTTGCCTCAGGTGGAGTTCAAGTGTCTGGGCGTCTTGTTCCTGAGTGGTGGTAGGATGCAGTGGGAGCTGGATTGACAGATGGGGGCTCTGTTCTCAATAATGAGGGTGTTACTTTGGTCTGTCGTGGTGAAGTTAGAGCTGAGTTGAAAGGAAAAGCTCTCAATTTACTGGTCGGTCTACGCTCCACCCCTCACCTACCGTCATGAGGTTTGGATCATGACCGAAAGAACGAGATCCTGGATACAAGCGACTGAAATGGGCTTCATTTGTAGAGTACCCGGGCTGAGCCGTAGAGATAGGGTGAGGAGCTCCGTCATCCAGAGGGAGCTTGGAGCAGAGCCGCTGCTCCTCCTCATCGAAAGGAGTCAGTTGAGGTGGTTCGGGCATCTGATTAGGATGCCTCCTGGACACCTCCCTTTAGAGGTTTTCAAGGCACTTCCCACTTGCAGGGGGCCTCGGGGAAGAGCCAGAATTTGCTGGAGGGATGGTCTGCCTTCTCTGGCCTGGGAACACCTCTGGGTCCCCAGAATGAGCTGAAAAGTGTTGCTGGGGAGAAGGAGGTCTGGGTTTCTCTCCTGGACCTGTTGCCTCCACGACCCGACTATGGATAAGTGGTAGAAGATGGTTGGATGGATGGATGTATGGATTTAAAGCTGGATCACCCTACTTTGCTTTTGTTCTGTAGAAGTTCCTGTTCTTCGTCCTGAAGAGCAGTGACGTGTTGGAGATGCTGGTTCCCATCCTGTTCTACTTGAACGACGCCCGAGCGGATCAGTGTGAGTCACACGGAGTCAAGTCTGACAACCTGAGCAGAAATGTCCAGGTGAAAGTGTTAAAGCTCCTCCTGTTTGTGTGCACGCTGCAGCTCGGGTGGGCCTCGTGCACATCGGCGTCTTCATCCTGCTGCTGCTGAGCGGAGAGAGGAACTTTGGCGTTCGCCTGAACAAACCGTACACGCTCCGTGTCCCCATGGACATTCCCGTCTTCACAGGGACCCACGCCGACCTGCTCATTGTGGTGAGAAGCTCGACTCTGGAACAACAGATGCTACAGATGTTCACATGGTTAAAAACAAGAATGCTTTAGGCCTTCCTGAAGGCTCAGAGCCCCATGTGTTGGTCCCGCCCACTTTACATCATCATTGTGATTGGTTAATTTTCCTGCCGGTTGTAAAACTCCTCCTGCAGAGCCTCTGACTGAGCTCAGCCTTCTCTCCTGACAGTGAAGTCCTGACCAGTCAGAAAGAAGCTTTGACTGTGTCTGCCTGGAGACACAAATTTAAAAGAATCTGATTGGATAATGGTATTTTCTTGAATTAAATTGTTTCTTGCTCAAATCCAAAGCAGTTTTTTTTTTTTTTTAAATACGAGAAATTAGCAAAAAATAAGAGAAACTACATAGAAAATATTAAAATAAATGAAACATTTAATCTGTGCTGAATTCTTAGGCCTTCTCTGAAGGTGTAGAAGGCCCTGAGGGTTCCCACCTGCTGTTTGTATAAACATGTTCAGGTCTAACTCGGAGTTCTCAAACTTTTCATGCTCGATGGAAACAAAATGTTGACTCTGTGCACAGAAACCCAACAAATGTGAGCGTTGAATTTACAGAATTACTGTCTTCAGTGATTCTGCTGGGAGTTTCATTATAAATAAAGGTATTATTATTATTAAATTATAAATAAATAAAGGTTGAATAAATTATCGCCCTGTTGCCTTTGGCTGCGACAGATTTTCAAACCGAGGCAGGAGCTAAAACTTTTTTTTTCTTGAGTTCGTAGTTTGACAGTGAACTATGAGCTAGATGTTCTCAGAGAAGAATAAAATGATTTATTGATAAAATGTCTCCGTTTTAACATTTCGTCTCGTTTAGATCTTCCACAAAGTCATCACCTGTGGACACCAGCGCCTCCACCCTCTGTTCGACTGCCTGCTCACCATCGTGGTGAACAGTGAGTGTCGCAGCCGAGTGCTGCCCCCTGCTGGAGGGGCAGGACACACGCTGAGCCTTTCTTCTCCTCCACAGTTTCTCCATACCTGAAGAGCCTCTCCATGGTGGCGGCCAACAAGCTGCTCCACCTGCTGGAGGCCTTCTCCTCTCCCTGGTTCCTCCTCTCTGCTCCTCAGAACCACAACCTGGTCTTCTTCCTGCTGGAGGTCTTCAACAACATCATCCAGTATCAGTTTGATGGTGAGGAGGACTAACGTCATCCGTGTGGCACCCATTCAGAACCCAAACTGAGGCTCTGAGTTCTCCCTCACAGGGAACTCCAACCTGGTTTACGCCATCATTCGTAAGAGGAACGTCTTCCACCAGCTGGCCAACCTGTCGACGGACGCCGCTTCGATTCAGAAAGCCTTACAGAGGAGGAAGAAGTCCGGGGTCTCCAACATGAGCGCTACAGATGAGTCCATGGAGGGCTCCAGGCCTGCTGTACCTGCAGAACCCGGGACTCTCAAAGCCAGCTTGGAGGCCACTCCAGGTAAGAGGTCGCCCTAATGATGCAAGCTTGAAAAAAGACAGAAACTAAGATTTACAAAAGATTTGACTCGATGAATTCAAGAGCCCTGAAAGACACAAAAACTGCAAAATATAGATAAAAAATATGAACTAAAAACAGGCAGAAAGTCATACAAAGATATAAAAATGTAGGAAAAAAACAGCCATGATTTCAAATATCCAATAAATTATTATTTAAAAAAACTATTAAATGATCACAAATAAACACAAAATGCTACAATGGGGCATTAAAAGTCTACAATAGAATATAATGACCAAAATAAATCACATTTGTAGATATAAAACTGTAAACAAATTAAAGAATGAGTCAAAAGAGACACAAGTGATGATCAGTTATTAAAATATAAAAATTAAAAATAAAAATCCAAACAAAAGAGAGAAAGTGACACAAAATGAGCAGAAAGAAAAATGTTTGAAAGCTCAATCATCAGGTAGAAAAATCACACAAAAGTTCAATCCCGTCACCTGGACAGACTGTTTTTGGGAGAAACGTTTCATCTTTCATCCGAAAGGCTTCATCAGTCTGAGGCCTGCCAACCACATCTGTTTAGAAATGGCACCTGCTGGACGTGCTTCAAACCAGTCTGTGTTTCAAACCAGTCTGCTGTGGAATTCCCAGAAACTGGCTTTACACATGCGAAGAGGACCAACCAGTCATCATGCACAACAATCGAATGGTTTAGGCCTCATGACCAACTTGCTACTCACAGAAACAGCCTGAGGACACCTGGCCAAAATGATTCAGAAAAAAGGTTGAAAGTTTTTTTGTGATTTCTCTACCTGGATGATTGAGCTTTCAATAGCAGCTGTTGGTCATCTGGCCAAAAACATTTGATTGTTGTGATGATGATCGGTTGGTGTGGACAGATGATCCTCCTCTTTGCACATGTAAACCCACTTTCTGTTTTTAATATTTTCAATCAGTAAAAAATACAGTCATACAGAAATGTCAGGTTTTCTTTAGGTTTATCATTCAGCTGTTAGCAGGTTATCATTCAGCTGTTAGCAGGTTTATCATTCAGCTGTTAGCAGGTTTATCATTCAGCTGTTAGCAGGTT